GCTCTTTCAGAAATGGTCCAGATACAGAAAACCAGGCTCCCATTCATTACACACCCAGACTCAGAAAACAACGCCTACCAACTCCTTAAGAAAACAGCAGCTGTCAGTATCAGTTGTAAAATGTACTAATTTCCCACGCATTGATTTGTTCATTTCACACTTACAACATTAGTGTGACTACTCTGAGACAATAATGAACAAAGTCATGGTGCTTGGGTTTCTATGTTTTATGTGATATAACAAACTGTAAGTATTTTCAGCAACATTCCCAAAGAAAGAGCTTCTTAAACCAAAGCATTGGAACTTATGTTTACCGGATTTAGTTGATGGCATATCTGGTTTTGCTGTGGTTTGGGGTTTAGGAAGTAATTGCTTTGGTGGTTTTGAATCTGAAGGAAAAAAGGTGTTATAATTAGTGTCATAGCAGAGCTGTGAATGTCAAGATTAATGTTACTGACACAAAGTTTTCCTAGTTATAAATCAAGGCACTGAAAGTAGTGGCTAGCAGGCTGGATTTGAGGTATGTCTGGTCTATGTGTGGTTTAGGGTCTTTTGGATGGTTCTGATGCTAAAGAAAAAGTATTAAAATTAGCATAATGGTCATGGCTGTAACTATCAGAATTAAGGACATATAGGCTCGAGCAAATATACTAAATAATTTCAGTGATATACAGCAAAATTAACTCCTAGGTTGTGGGAAGAATGGGAAATATGTCCAAAAGAAAAAACTCCAGGAAATGCTCAACATGTGTCTTTGAGCAAAAATAATGAGAATTGTAATAAGACTTCTTTTCTACATAAGTAATTTCAAATGTGATAAGTATAATAGTTCTATTTCTTAATTGATTTTTTTTCAGTATAAAAATAATATGGTAGAAATTTGAAACTTGCTTAGTAGGGGACCTGGGAAATAATCTTTAACACTTGAAATTCTATACAATGTTACATGGCTACTGATTTCTGGAATTTTCTAAAGTAAAGTAGTGACAGATTTATTGTGAATGATGAGAACTTACAATGAAATAATTATCATCAACAGCATTAGTACTAAAAACAATAAAACCAGCTTGGGACATCTAATGTTCTCAAGTTACAGACCATCCTAGTTTTACATTGGATCGTAGACCAAGGATAGTATTTGTCCTTCTAATTATCAAAACATACTCAAAAATTTTTTTTCAAAGAAACAAAAAAGCTGAAGAAGCCATTATTTCATGCAGCTTTTAAAAAGAAAGAATGTCAAACAAGTTGAATGAGTAAATCAATGAAATGATAATGAGGGCACTGAAATGAAATTTTGCCATTTGTCAAGTTCAGGATGCGCACAGAAGCCTCTGTCTGGGAGAATAGATGGTCTTTTCACCACAAGGACACATGGGATGGAAAGGCAGAGGGTTAGTGAAAAACCAGGAAGTTGTGTCCAAGGCCACAGAGCTTCCTTAAACAAGCACACAGGATTCTTCTAGAAGTCTCCTATCATCGGGTTCTTCAGACCCAGATAGGAAACTGAGGGGACGCATGGAATGAAATTGTGGTGATCTGGCAGAAGTGCAGTCATGCCTGGTGGAGAGTAGGAAAAGCAAAAGTGACAACATGAGAGCAGTTGGAGGAGAGCAGAATTACCGACTGTGGGCACCCAGAGCTCCGGTTGTACCGTAGCAGGTTGCAGAGCTACAGAAGTGAAAAATCAAAAAGAATAATTACATCAAGAAGCAGCATCTTGAGGAAGTAAACATTACTCCTCAATCTTAACCTGCGTGCTCTTTTTGGGTGTGATTCTCCCTTTTATTTTCCCCTTTCCCTCCTCTTCTCCCACAGCTCATCTGCCATGAATATCCTCCGTAAGATGTTAGGGTGCCCTACTTTAATAATACACTTAGTGAGTCAGCTTACTATTGTGTGTACCTGTAAATATAAATGTATATATTCATGTAACATGAATATGGACGGTTAGTACAGATACTTAAATATAAACATCAACTACGGTGGTTCCTAAAGTCCAGCAACGTAGGTAGTAGATAGCTACTATATCAGAAGCTATCATATTCCACTTTCTGTGTTAATTGAAACCCTCAACATCACATTTACCAGGTTTGGACTTGGGCACATCTGGGCTACGTGTGGTTTTGGGGCGGGGGCGACGACCTGGTCTTTTGGTCTTTGGTGGAGCTGGAGAAAGACAATTAGCGAGTTAACACAGGACAAACAATTTTACATATACCTCAGAAGCACATTTAAACTCTTTGATTTACTGTGGATATGTACCCTTCTGTTTTGCACCTTTCTATCATTAAATAATAAGTGAATCTTTAATTATATTGTTTTGGCCAGTTAAGTGAATCTTCAATTATATTTTTTTGGACCAAGATTTGTAAACAATCCTTGTTCAAGAGATCCCTTGTTCATCCATTTTGAGATGGGAAAACCTAGAACTCTGTATAACTTAGAGAAAACAGTCTCATAAAAATTTTGAAAGTGCTTGTTCAATAGGAACATGAGAAAAGTTATGCTTAAAAAGCCACTAGGGATAACAATTAAAATTTCTTTGGCCTAAGATTCAAAAGAAAAAGTTTTGCACTCAGCATTAAAAAAATCTGCAAATCAGCAAGATGTATTTTGAATTCAGAAATTATTTCAGGGAAGGTATATTTTAAAATTGAGATACAGTTTATAAAATTATAGATTAAAAATGTTTCTCTGGGAGTAAGAATAAAAAACACACACAAAAATGAATATTAATGGATTAATCCATTAATATGAGCCTATTAATAAAGCCACCAGCAGTCCGGAAAAGAGGTCACTCAATAACTGCATTACCTAATGTTGTTGTTGAAGGTTTGGTTTCCAGTGTTCCAGGTTCTAAGGCTGCATGAAACATCATCAAAAAAGAATCAAGATCAAAGGAAAAATGATTAATATGAAATATTAATATGAAATAAATATGAAAAATGTTTAATTTTTAATTACTAAGTTGAACAAATATAAATGATGAAAAATTTAGCCACATAAAAATTCCCTTTTTTATTTAAATTGATCCCTGTGCTTTTAGACAAAATGAACAAAAATATAGCCAGCGAGTTAAGTTTGGAAAGAGAACTGGAAAGAAAAAGGTACGATTCTTATTTGGAATATGTGAATGCAATAAAGTAACCAACAGTTCGTGTTATGAAGGAAAATATGGGTAATTGGCTAAGATGGCACCAGCAGAACACAGTATTTTGCTCTCCTGAAGAAAAAGAAGCTATAACATTAGGGTTAGTGTTTATATTTCTCTCTTTTAATGAATTTCCTAGTGACATATCAGGATATTTAGATCTGGAAAGACCATAATGTCTTTCAAGAAAATCTGCAAATGTTGGAGTTTCGAAAAGGAAGAAAAACACCTCCAAATGTGAAAGCAAAACATGTCCTAGGAAAGCCATGGTCCTCACCAGGTTAAAAGCAGCTCCGGGCACATTCCTCAAATATAAGGAAGGACAATAAAGCATGTCAAATGAAAATGAAAAGAATGTGTCAAATCAAAGTCAGTGTGGCTTTCATGCTGCCTCAGAACCTCCACTTTGAGCACAGGCAGAGAGTTATCTTCTGACAAAAACGGCTGAAAGAAAGAGCTAAAGGATGATGAAGAAATAATTTCTTTATTTTTTAAATCTCTTTTTTAAAGATATTTTTATTCATTTTTAGAGAGAAGGAAGGGAGAGGGAGAGAGAGAGAGAGAGAGAGAGAGAGAGAAACATTGATGTGAGGCTGCCTGTCCCCTTAGCAGGGATCAAGCCTACAATTCGGGCCGGTAATTGAACCAGCGATCTCTTTACCTCTTGGTTCATGGGATGATGCCCAACCAACAGAGCCACACCAGCCATGGCAAAATAAATTTTTAAAAAGCCAGAATTAAGGACAAAGTTGAAGATAGAGGTTGTAAAAAAGAGAGATAATTCTTTTTCACTAACTAACGAAAACTTCATTACCTATTGTTGACTGTGATGGTGTTGGAGTCAGAGGTTCTGGGGCTGCAATAAAAGCAAGTATTATCAAAGGCAATGCTGAAGAGCACCATCTAAGACAGAAATTAAATGTCCTTTAGTAGGAAAAGTGTTCTCTCATCGATGAGCAATCAGGTTCTCCTGGCTTAACAACCGAAAAGCTCAACACCCACATCCTCTCCGCAAACCATAATAAAAGTAAGAATTGAGATTTCTATATTTTTTGGTAGATTTTTAGCTATTGTATTTACTACACAATATTCTGAAAACTGATTCTAGTGCTTGAGGAGATACTCCATTAAAGGGAGGTCAGGCAGCTCTGAAAGGTTGCATGGAGCTCTTGTCCACCGGCCATGTTGCTCCCTGCAGGACAGTCAGGTTGGTCCAAGGAAGAAGGAACAGACTCATTAGACCTGTACCTGTGTCTGAATTCTGTTTCTTTTGGATGATTTTCAGCTTGGCTGGATCTGACATTATTTTATATATAAAAAAAATCAAACTTATGGTCTAAAAAGAAACCAAAATGCTCACATGATGTTCTCCATGTTTATTAGCATTATTGCTGGTGAAAAAATTGATTCACTTATAAAATTTAGTCCATTTTGGTTAGTAAATCAGAAGTCAAAAGGCAGTCTCAGATTTCATTGAAATGCTGAAAAAATTGAATAACAGTATCATTTAAATATTCTATCAGATAACAAATCCTCAATGTCATTCAAATTGGCAGAGAGAGAGAGAGAGAGAGAGAGAGAGAGAGAGACCTCAATGTTTCAGATTCTACAGGAGAAAAGAAAAAAAACAGTAAGCACCAATACATTAAATATAATAAATATTTTTAAAGGATCCACATCTGAAAATAGCAAGCAACAAAAATTCTTCTGAAACTTCGAGGTTGTAATTCATGTTTTAATTTCTACACAGGTACCTTCTAAAAGAGTGAAAATGTAAGTGAAATTTGCTGCTCACAGCATTTTTAAGACTTTACAAAGATTAAAGAACACTGTCTTTTAAATTTGTAAAGAAAAATCTGCATTTTTGAACTCTTGACAGGTGCAGACCACATAGGTATGTATTCCTATCAATTAAAATTCCAATTCACCTCCATATAAAAAAAGTCAGTGTTTATTAAAAAACAAATACATGTTTTGATGAGTTCCTCTATTGACACTATTTAGGTGTTGTAGATAAACATATAGAAATGTTCCATAAAAAAACTGAGTGGCATGCAAATAACTACACCACTCACATCACCACAACACAAAGAAATACACAACTTGCTCATGGATTTGTGGCTAGCAAAGAGAACAATGTACA